ACACCAAGGAGACAAACTGGATATCACCAGTCAGTCAGTCAGTCCTCATTTAAAGTATTGAAATCGGAGAAATAAAGATTCTTTGAGAGCCAACTCTGTTGCTTCTTTCTCTAATTCCTCCCCCCACTGTGTGACGGACTGTCCTAGTTCAAGTGGTGTCCTTATTTTAACAGATGAGGAAACAGACACCAGCCGGATGACTTATTCAATGGTGCTCCCATGTCACGTATCCACACTATGTTTTAAAGGCCAGTTCCTTCATCACTCCAGTTGACTATGAGTTCTCCCAAGGCAGAGACCAGACTCTCATCTTGTATTCCCAGGGCCTATCCAATACCTGCCACATAGCAGGTGCACAGTATACGCTTTATATTACAGTCATTCATTCATTTGCTCAAATGTGAACATTATCAGAAGAGTAACCTAACCTAAAAGCAGGTAAAAGATGATGGACCACGGTCCCTTTCCAGAAGGAGAGTGGCTATGGTTTGTTCTAGACCAAAAGAATGAAGTTGTCACAACTCATATAATAGCTCCTGTAGGATAAGCAATCAGCCAGTTTAAGAATTTCCAGAAGTGGCATCAACTAAAAACTAATGATGGCTGGTCATAGAGACCACTTTAGGGTGTTTGTTTTGCATGTAGAACCTCAGTGACACATGAGTCTGAAACAGCATTCAAAGAGTTTGTATAGTAGATGGCATAGTCAGGTGGTTTTCAAACTGGGTTCCTGGCCGTACCTTAGGGCCAATTAAGTAGGACTGCCCAAGTAAACAAAGTTTCCAACCCCTCTCGCCCCCAGACTTAGTCTCTTTTCCTTCAATATACTGGCTTACACGCAAGATTTCATTTAAATGAAGGGGTCCATTGCTGTTATGCTTGGAGGCAGTGTAGGAGCTTAATGTTGGTTGAATGAAGTCTGAAAAGTCCCGCCTTCGAAAAGCTTCACAAACAGAGGCCAAATCTAGTGGCTTGGTCTCAGGCTGCCGCCCACCCTCACGCTGCTCCCAGCCAGCTCAGTCTCTCACCTTCTATACACTTGGGCTCACAGTCCAGGGTCCGGGTCTTGCAGCGCAGTCCTTCTCCAGTACCATCAATCCAGATATACATAGCTTGGACTTTCTCACCCTGAGGCAGGGACATGTACACCTGCTTGATGCCTTTGTTCAAGTGGGAGCTCGCCGAGGTGGCCATGGTGGAAGGTGTTCTGGAGAGAGACAAAATAAAATAAGAACACCAACTCCAAACAGATCCTCTGACGCAATAAGGACAACTAAATCAAGAAGCAGCGGGAGTGGTGGCCCCTCCCTATTTAACTTGCTTTCAGGGAGATTAAACTTTTATACTAGACAAAAGTCTCCTTACAAGCTTCCTCAAGCCAGAATCTAAACTTGTGAGCACTAAGCTCTACTTTTTGCAGTTTATCAGAGGTAGAGGAATTGTTTCATTTTTCACACTAAGATACTAGAGGGAGAAAAAAACCCCAAAACACAATGAAGATACAAAAGTTCTGAAACAAAGTCTGCCGAACAGACATCGTCTCCAAGTAAAATCCAGCCACAGAAAGGCTTGGCTGCTATGATCTCTGGGTTAAGTCTTCCCTTTTCCTTACACCCCAGAGGATATCTCAGTAAACAGTGCTTTTGAAGATTCCTCCACCCTTCCAAAAAACAAACACCCCCCCCATTTAGTTGGTAGGATGAAACAAGGGGGCTAGCTAGAAGATTTAAGAGACTGGTGGCTTCCTAGAAGAACAGCAGTTATTACAATTACCAAGATGTAAAAATAGCCAATCCAAGCTGGATTCTAAGATACACGATGGCATAATTTGCATCAGTCTGAGGCAAAGTTCTCACTTCAGGCAGGAGATTTAAGTTTGACCAGATTCCACCAGAGAGCTTTTCAAGTAATTAAGAAATTCCCACTTCTAAATCAAAAAGCTCTGGGGTTTCAAAAGCTGAGGCATGCTAAAAACTGCGAGGCTCCACCGCAAAACCCCTGAAAGAAGAGACACTGAAGCCACAAAACCAAACCTCAACATTAAGAGGACGTTCTACCCCTCCCTCTGCTGTCGACAGCCCAGGGTGGCTGGAAAGGGAACACACTGTTCTCCTCCAATGACTTGGGTAACTTTCTGAAGTACAGTGGCAAAGTTTCTATGGGCAACCGTCCATGTTTGCCCAGCTGAAAACATAACTGCTTCTCCCTCCAACAGCCTCACCCTTCCCCCCCACCCCCCCGAAAGCGGAGAAGCTGTCTGTCAAACAGTGTTACCAGACAATCACTACCTTTGCCTACTCCCTGTAGAAGACTTGGTCAGTCAAATCCCACCCCCGACGCCCATCCTGCCTTTAAAAGCCAGAGGGAGCAATCCCTGACCCTTTCAGCTCCCACTAAAAGCTATAACCCGGTCTCTGGCTTTCGTCCCCAACCTGTTACACCTCCAATTTCAAACCACGCTGTCTCTCTTTAAGCCTCAGATCCTGCTCTTTTTGGTGACGAGTTGCAATGCCAACAGCCTAGTCTACTATATCAACTGGTGCCGCCGAGGTGCCAAGATTACGTGGTGGGTGCTGGGAGGGATGGGATTCTGCAGTTTTTAGCTGTTTCTGCAGATGCAGTGGGAGCCGGCGTCCTCATCCCTGCTCCTCACTCACCCCAGCCACATAAGGTCAACGGTATCGATGCCCTCCTTAGCCTTTCTCCTTTTCGAGTGGCGTTCGCGCCTCTCGTGGGTCTCCGGCTCTCGCTGGTCCAGGCACCGGAGCTTTCTGGGCGAGGGAGACGGAGAGGGAGAGGGAGTTGGAGAGCGGTAGGGATCGGACCGGGACGAGCTGGAATGCGAAGGCTGGTGGGTCAACGTCTCGATCTTGACTCGCGGTTTCTCTCTGGCGTTCACTGAGTAGGCGACGAAGCCGAAGCAGTTGGAGGGGGACCCCGAGGACCGAGACTCCAGGTCTTCACCTTCGTTCGTGGTCTTCTTCACGGATTTGCGGCCAGGGGAGGATCCCCGCTTCCCGCCCCCGGGGTGGTTGGGATAATCCACTTTGAGAGCAGCCCTTTCCCACAGAAAGGTCCCGAAAGTCGGCGCCCCGCCCCTTGGGCCCCCGTCTGGATCTCAGGGCCTAGCCGAGGGGGCCATCCCTCTCCAAGGACAGGGCTAGGAGGGGCGGGGGATGGGGACATCCGCCAGAGGGACAGCGTGCCGCTGCTGCCCCTGTCCGGCCGGCCAGTCCTCTCCACCCGCCGCGCCCGCCGGCCATGCCGCATCCCGGGCTCCCCATTGTTCAGTCACAGGGGTAGGACCCCGGGAGCCCGCGGCGGGAGCGGGCCGCAACACAGACGCTCACTGCCCCTCGCCTCCGCGCAGGCGGCTAACCGCGACGACCGCCCCAGGGCCCGCCTCCGCGGAGGAAGAGAGCGAGGCTCCAGCAGGGCACCACTCCATCCACCACGCACACCACATGGCCGAGCCGGGGGCGCCGGGCCCGGGCAGTGCCTCCACAGCTCGCCCTGCCGAGCGACATCCAGGGGCGGCGCTTGGGGCTGCAAGCAGCTGAAGGAAGATCAAAACAACTCCCCGCCCTTCTCGAAGCCCTGGCGACTCGCGCGCCCCGCCATCGCCGACCCAGACCCGCCGGGAGGCACGGGCGGCGGAAGCAAGCGGGAGGGCCCGCAGGCCGGGGCGCAGAGTAGAGGCTGGAGGTGGGAAGGGGCCGAACCGAGCTCAGCCGATCGGTCAGAGCGCGGCGGCTCGCAACACTTCCGAGCCCCCCGGGCCGGCCAGGCGCTTACCTATGCGGCGAGCAGGCGGCAGGGTGGGCAGGCTGCGAGAGCGAGGTGCGGAGAGGAGAGGCGAGGAGGCCGGAAGAACTGCTCACACAGCCGGCTCTTCTCCCATTCTCAGCTCTGCTGGGCCGTCTGCGGCCCCGCACGCTTTATCTGCAGCCGGGGCCGCCCCCGGCGCCCTGATTGGCTCCCAGAGGCCCGGAGCCCGGGCGGATCAGCTGATGCGCGTCCCGGCAACTCGGCCATTGGGCGAGCCGCCGAGCAGGCGCCGCCGGGGTGGGGGCGATCCGGCCCGGGAAAGAAAGAAAGAGAAAGGGCGGTGGGGGAAGGGGGTGTGGGGGAGGGGAGCGAGGAAGGGCGGGGCGGCGGCGGCGGCGGCGGGGGGCCCAGTGCCTGCCGGGAAGGACCCCGCCGGCCGGGGCTGCCGCGCAGCGACGCGGCGCCCCCGCCCGCCCGGCCTGGGGCCGGCCCCGCAGCCCAGTATTGCATTCAGGTCGGATATTTTGCGGGAGAGTTCTCTCTTTTACTAGGTCACACTGCACGCCCCAGAGCTCCCAGAGGAAATTCTGACCCATGGGCACCCACTTTTGCCTTTTGTTGTTAGAGAACCCCCGGCCCCCTTTCCTGGCCCTCGGGTCAAGTTTGTGAGGGAGCTCGCGGGGTGGGGGAAGCCCTGGGCTCGCCGCAGTCGTGGCCAGGCGTCGGAGGGGGCGGCGCAGACAGGGGGCATGCCGGAGGTCTCTCGGCGGGTTTGGGGATGTGGACAGAAGTCTAGGATCTCACATTGGTAGTGAAAGTGCTGTGTTTTGTCTCATTCCATAGAAGGGATCCTGGCGGGCGGAGACACAAGTCGGGAGACCTGATTCTGCCTCTGCCACACCTGAGGCAATTCTCGCAGCCTCTGGGCCCAAGTTCCCTCATCTATAAATAAAGCGGAACTTCCCTGGTGGTGCAGTGGTTAAGAATCTGCCTGCCACTGCAGGGGACACAGGTTCGAGCCCTGGTCTGGGAAGATACCACATGCCGCGGAGCAACTAAGCCCGTGCGCCACAACTACCGAGCCTGCGCTCCAGAGCCCGTGAGCCACAACTACTGAGCCCATGAGCCACAACTACTGAAGACCACGCGCCTAGAGCCCGTGCTCTGCAATAAGAGAAGCCACTGCAATGAGAAGTCCGCGCACCGCAACAAAGAGTAGCACCCGCTCTCTGCAGCTAGAGAAAGCCCGTGCGCAGCAGCAAAGACCCAACACAGCCAAAATAAATAAAATAAAATAAATTAATTAAAAAAATAAAATAGAGTGGTTCAAGAAAGGACCTTAAGAGTCGCCCATCAGATTTGAAATTCTGTGCAGTAAAGCGGTTCAAGAAAGGACCTTAAGAGTTGCCCATCAGATTTGAAATTCTGTGTGCGAACTGTTTCCCGAGGACAGCTGAAAGGAAGGTGAAGTCTTGGCATCTCCTCTTCGAAGCTCAGGGTATGTCAAAAATTTAGAATTCCTGAAACGAATTCTGTCTGTTTTTGTTTGTCAAGTAATTTATTGCACGTTTTTGTAATATGGAAAATGAGAATCAGTACCCCTTCCTCCTCTCTCCTTATAGCCTTACTATGATAGTTGAGAAAACGTGTATGTGTATGTGAACACAGTCTTGAAGTGGATGCTTGTCAACAGATACACAATAACTATATATATATGTATACAACACATACACAACACACACGTGAATGTAATGTTTTCATTTCTACCAGTGCTATTACTTGATCATACTATTTTTATTGCCTGAATCCATCTGATGGTGTCTAGCCTTTATTGCATCTTTCAAGAGCCCCAGTATTTGAGACTTCGAGGTTTTCTATTTGAAGACTAAGAAGTCATGTTTCCAGGGCCTTTGGAAGAGGAAGGGAAGAAGTTTGCACTTCTGGTTATTTTTTGTACCACAAATATGGAAAAGAAATGTTGCCTGTGACCACACACACATAACTTGGCTTCTTTGGTCAACATCCCTTCCCTGTGAGAGTATGTCTAACACTGTAGTGATTTAAAATGAGAGATGCAAGATTCATCTCAAACAGGGGCTTTTGGTATGTTTCAGACAGGTAACATTGTGGACCAGGTAAGTCGCCTTGCAAGTGTAAGGGATTCCATCCTTTATGTGATCCTTCGATATGATGGTTAAAAGCTGGGCTTCAGTTCAGGCAACGCAGGTTCAGATCTGGGCTTTACTTCTTACCAGCTTTGTGTTGGGGAAGATACTTAGCGCTAGAGCCTCAGATTCCTTGCCTCCAAAATAAGAATAACGGCTACCTTGTATATTGTAAGGATTAATTGTGATGGCACATGCATATAGTAAATTTTTAGAAAAGAGCAATAATAATTATTATAGGTCAAGATAATCTGATGGGATTGGATTCTTTCTTTCCCCACCACAACCTGTGAAGTACAACTTCCTAACTTCGTGTAATGCTCTACCGTTGGTTTTATGAGAGTGGGCTTAGACCTGGTAGCAAACTGAGATGTCTTCATTCCATTTCTTTCTGTGAGGTCTTGAGTTTAAATTGTTGAGGAGGGGGCGTGAGGGAGGGGAAGAGTCATGTTCTTGTTTTAAAAAATGTTAATTTCCAGTTGCCAAACTGCCAGAAGTGAGCCAGAGCTTTTTACTGTACTTGTCACCACCAGCACCCGAGGTGGGGATGGCACACAGAATAGAAAATGGAAAAGTAGGAAGCATGTGCAGTTCTTAAAGCTTCTAGTCTGTGGGTGCCTGCCGCCCTTGCTGGTGTCTTAACCTCCCTGAGCAGCTTATTCATCTTAGTGTCCCCCAGGAGTGTCCAGGGTGAGTGGTCAATAACCGATGTTTGTTGACCACACAGAAATGACAGCGGCCCCATCAAGAGAACATGTGCTTTGAGCTGCTTTTCCAAGAATGGAAATGGATTTGCTTTGATCCATTCACGTGACGGGGGCATACTTTGTGAGGGTTAGGAAGGTAATACATGACTACTGAGTTTTTCAGGCAGAACAAGAAGACTTGTCCCCCTTAGTCAGCACCATACTTACTTAACCCAACCGAATTAGGGCCCAAATGAGTCCAATGATTGTTCAGGGAACCTTAAAAGAGTATGAGGGAAGAAAAAGCAGAAGAAAGCCCTTAAACTAACTGGTTCGCCCCCAGAAACCCAGACTGTACTTTTAGAGAAGTTAGAAGTAGAATGGACTGTTTGATCCTGTTTGACTTTGCTGTGTCTGCTGCCCTTTGTTCTCTTTCTCCTTCTTCCCTAAATTGCTACCCGCCCACATTCTCCACTCGCTCCCTAAAAAGCATTAGAGCACTTGAACGATGAACTCTTCTGTCTCCTGGTACACCCAGTATCAAAGCACACAGGGGATTCTGTTACGTGTGCTTTGAAGTCAGGTTTTTCCTCTCTTAGAATAGAGCAGCTGTGTCCAAGGGGTGGGTGGAGTGGGAGAGAAATATCACAGGTAAAAATTTGGTTCCAAATCTGCAGAAATGACTGGGGACTGAAAAAAAGCATTTCTTCAGTGTTGCTCTGCTGCTTGAAATAAAGGCCTTGTCTTGGGTGGGCTTTACCTGTGAGTTCTCTCAATTTCTTTCACTCTCTTTTAAAGGACCTGTTCTCACTCTGCAGGTCGTAAGCCCTTAATCTAGTGATCTGAGCGTGCCTTCCCAGGGCCTGTGTGGTTGGTTGCCTTGCACTCATTGGAGACAAGATTTGGGGTAAGGCTCAAACGTACTCAAACCTTCAACCAGAACATGTAGTTTGGGAAATGGAGTTTTCCAACATTTGAATGATTTCAGTAGGCATTGAACAAAGCTTAACTTAGACTAAAGAGACATAGCTGAGACTCAGGCTTGAGGAACACCCTGGAAACCCAACCCAGAATTATAAATTTTTTTTTTCAATAAACCAACGCCAGTTCTTTCCAAAAGAATAGACCATTGTATATCTTAAAGCAAAACAAAAATAAAACAAAAGAAAAAGAAACAGCCTTGGAAGTTGATGTCATTACTCTTAAAGCACATTTTGGGGAAAAGCTGCAATTGACCAAGCCTTCAAATTTCACAGTGCACAATTAAAGAAGAAAAGACCAGGTTTTACGTCAATTTGGTATCTAACACTGAACCCAGAGGAATTGTTCTTTATCTGTTTTCTGATTGTTTGATATTCTTAAGCTCAGGTTAGGAAATTAGAAATTCAAGTCTCAGCTTTTTTTTGTCTGATTTGAGTTTTGTTGAAGGCCCCTGGAAACCATTCAAATATAGAGAACACTTCGTTTCCCAGCCTACACCTTATGATTGAAGGTTTGGGTCTGAGCCCTACCCCAAATCTTGTCTCTAATAGGAAACTGCTTGGAGAGTTGGGAGGAATTAAGTTCATCTTAGCTAACGACATGGTAAAATAAGTGCTACTGAGAAAATTACAGCTGTATAATTCTAGAATGAACCTTCAAATAATTCTAGCTGACCAGTGAGGAAGCTGAGGACGTGCTCACTTGCAGTAGTTAGCTGGATTCACCTTAGTGCAGTATTTCACAGGCTAATATGCTTCCAAGGTGCAATTCCCTTGAGAGCCTTTTTCTGTTTCCCTTCCTTCAGCCTTCTCGGGCTGTGGATGATGCATTCCTGGGCCACCACCTCTAAACTCCGAAATCCCTACTGTACCCGCTAAGGAAAGTACCCTGTCCAGGAACCAACTAGTTTACCTCTGAATCCTGCATAGTGGCTTACCCAGTGCCTTACATACAATGGACATTCAATATATTCTTTGTGAATAACTAGATTACCAGGGGGAAAAGTGCTGTATGACAGGTTCTTTTTAAAGTAATCTTTGGAGATCATTTTGTGTATTTAATAATCTGTTTCATTGTTTTGTGAATCTGGGATCTTCATAGAGAAATTTTCTTCCTATTCTCAAGGTATGTGTGGATTTATCTTTGTTCTCTAGATTGATTGGAACATTATTGAAGCTTATTTAGAAGTTTAGGAAATTTAGCATTGTGGTCAAAAACTGACTAGGATCAGAGTGTGTCCTGGAGTTGGTACTTTTCCCAAAGATATCCTCAACTGGATCCACAGCTCATCCTCCCTCACTCCTATCCCATTAGTTGATTTGAATCCTTGTTTATTTCACATTTCCACGCCAAATATTAGCGGGAAGCAAACAGCGCTTGGGTACATTTTCTGGATATTTGGACAATACGTAAACTTGGCTCTATATTTTTCCTGACCTCCTTTCCCCTCCCCCCACTTTTTTTGAACCGGTTCTTAGGAGACTTTTTACTGGGTTGGAGAGTTAGAGGCTTGGCTGGGGCGATGTGAATATAGTGCCCTCTGGTGGAATTTTGTGAGAATTGCAAATTTCTCCCCCCAACCTTAAGAGTGTTTGAGAAGTCTTTTCTTGGCTGGCCTTCAAGGGGAGGGCTTCTCTGTTACATCTCAAATACTATAGTAAATTAATAGCATGCAAGTTTATTACCTACACTGGATATTTTAGAGATATTGTGTGGGGGATATCAATTGATCACTTGAGGTTTATCATTATAAAATTAGGCCTCAAATGACTAGAAATGGGCAGCTGGCAGCACCTGTGCTTTTTCATCATCTGACGTCAATGTGTATGAGAGGTAGACAAAAAAGGGGTTCCCCCAACAAAGGTAATTGGAAAGAGTCTAGGGACCAAGAATTAAGGGAAAATAGCAGGGATCAGAAAACTTGGTCACAACAGTTGTTATCCTCAGCCCTCACTAGGATCTGAGCCCAGACATTTAAGACCCAGCTAGAGGTTGAGAGTCAGTCAGACTCTGATTGATCCCCTTCCCGCAACAATTTGTAGAGAGGTCCCACGGTGGTCGTGTAACATGGAGCTTCTCTGGACCCTGTTAGCTTCCAGCTGGGAAGGTAACAACAATGCCAAGAGGAAGAGACGCCATAGATTCCCAACAGGCACAAAGCATCGATCATCACATGCCAGCAGAAGAAGGTGGTGACAAACATGATGTCAATGAGGTCATCATCCTGCCCCGGGTAGCCGGTGCCTGGTTTGTACAGAATGAAGCCGGCCTGTACCAGCCAGAAGCCCATGATCTGAAACAGAAAGGTCTCGATCACTGAGAGTTGAAACGTGTCGGGAACCCACAGCTGTACGGTCAACACCAGCATGAGCAGCAACACCACCAAGATGAGCACAGAGTGAACCTGCAGCTCCACCCCTGCTGAGTCCTGAACATGTGACACCAGCAACAGCAGGAGCACATAGAAAGTCAGCACCAAGGTCCCTTCTTCTAGGGGCACACAGTGCTGAGGCAGCAAGTTCTTGCTCACGACCTCTACACAGCCGTTGAGGGTGAGAAGGATGTACATGGTGACATGCTGCCACTCTTTGGCGTACATAACTCTCAGGGGCAGCTCCCTGTTCATCAGTATCAGCCCTCTCTTCATGCAGCTTATCTCATACACTAACAAGCCGGAGCCAGCCAGCGTCTTCAGCAAACCACCGTAGGATATTTTCCACAGCCTGGCCCATCTCCCCTTATTCCTGGGAGGTGATGAAGGATACAGGAAAGAGTCACTGAATATCACAGCTTTGGAGACCACTACTGCTTGATACAGTCCATATGAGAGTAGAAACAGCCCTGGGTACGCATGACCGATAAAGGTTCCCATTGAACTAGAAATCCCTCTAAAGAAGGCGAGAAGAGTAAAACCAAGGCACGTCCACACCTTCTGGGGCCACTTCAAGATCTGGACTTTGGAAGGAATTGCCTTCCACCAACTTTTATCATTTCGCCCCACCCGCTGCTCCCCCACAGAGAGGAAATGCTTCTTGAAACAAGCCTACGACTTTGGTGGTGTAAAGCCTCATTGCTCCATTCCATTCTGGGACGTTGGGGACTAACTGGCTTCAGCCAAAGAAGACAGCTGGTGAATGTGCCTTTAGGGGCCTCTAGGGCCCTTGGGGCGCTTCTGGTCATACTTGTCCCTTTCTCCTATGGCTTCCTTCCCCTGGTACTGCCCAGCACTCAGAGAAGGGCACAGAAGCATGGGATGGGGTTAGGGGTTGCCATGGTCTCCAGAGGAAGCCTGGGCACTCACAAATCCTCAGGTTTCCTTTGGTATCTCTCAGACATAACTTTGGCCTGATTACAAAGTTTTCTTTCTGGACACATAAATTTAAAAACATTTGGATATATGAGCATGTTTCGTACCTATCTGGCTTTTCTTCTTTTATAGACACGTTCTGAGGATCACCGAGAAAGGTCCCTTCCTCTCCTCCCCTTATCTTTTCACCCCCCCACCTTTGTCTCCCCACTTCAGCATTTCTACTGGCCAGTAAATGGATCTGAAAAGCTAACTTTTGATACTGATTTCAGGAACAGTGGGTATTTTGTACTGTGTCAACCTAACTAAGCTTGAGCCATGTTTCCTAGAGTTACCTTCCCTCTATGATTCCAGATTGAGTTGGCTGCAAGAGAAGTTTACAAGAGAACCTAAAGATGGAAATGAAGCAACCTAAGACACTCTGAAGGCGTAGGGTACCAGGTGCCACTGCAGTTCACGCGTTCAGTTACTGATCTGCTGGCTCAACTCCTTGGCATGGACAGCCAGGCCTACAGCTCCCTCAGCTTCTCTTTGTGCGAAGGGCACCAGCTGCTTCTGCAGGCCACCTGCCACTGAAGTATGAGGTGATGAGAGGAAGACAGAGGCTTCAGTCTATCTTCGTAAGCTGCAGTTTGTCCTTACTCTTCCCCAACTTCGTGTAATGTACTTCTTCCTGACTGCTGCCAATTTGAGCTGAAATGGCCTCCACCCCATCACACAGAGAGGCAAGAGCCTTCCATAGACTTCCTCACTACAAATGTGTAAGGTCTAATATCCATAAGAAATCCATATTCCCATGATCTATCCCTAACTGATGCAAGGGATTAAGGTGTCATCCCGAAAATGTAGATACCGTTGAGAGGAGTGACTCCAGTGAGCTAGTGTTGGCCATTTGGATTTTAATGTGAATTAGCCCATCAGCTTCATTTATCTATGACTCTGCTAGTGTCTAATGCACCTCAGAAGACAGAGTCCTAGGTATTGGGTAACAGCCAGCTGAGTATAAGGCAGAGAGGATGGTGAAGAACAAAGTACAGATAATGTGAAGCTCACAGTGGTTCTGGGTTTACTGTGGAAGGTACATGGCATAGGAATTTCTCTGGGGGTTATAATAACGCTGAGGGGAGAAGTTCACTGCTCAACATGAACGGTACTGACATCACAGTTTTCTGCATAATCATCTGTCCTTATGGTACAAGTAATGCTGTGGGGCAGAGAGGCAGCACCTGTATGCTGACAGCGCCCCTAGTGAAGAGGAGGAGAACTTACACACAGGTCACAGCACTGCCTCTGAGACCTCACTCCTACCCAACTACCTACACTTCCGCAAGTCCACTTAATTCCAGAAAAAGTTAAAATCTCTTTCTGACCTTGAGGATGACAATAATTCAGATTTCTTCTTGCTATTTAGAGGTTTGGTGGGGCTAGGGATTTGAGTGTGAAGGGAAATTAGAAAAGCAAAACTTAATTCATCTTTCTGGGGGAATTTTCTAACTTTAAATTTTAAAATTAAGTATTTTTATTCAATTAATATACAGTCATTATAGAAAAGTCAGATAAAATGCATCAGCAAAAAGAAGAACGTTACAAATCATCTAATTTCATAATCTGGAGGTGACCGTTTTTACCACTGAGGTGTAGAAACACAGTTCTAAGAAAGCAGCATGAAGAATGGAAAATGCATCGATGGAAGTCAGAAATCTGCCTTCTCACTCCAGTTCCCCTTGATTTGCTGCATGTCATACCCCTCATCTAAAAAAAGCTGAGTGTTGAACTTAACTTTCTATTAAAGTGAAAATAAAAGGGCATGAATATGGTTGCACAGAAGTGAACATGTTTATCTTCTGTCTTCTCCCTTTTGGTGAATTATCAAAACACTGGGAGAGCTCTGTAGTGCTCAATGCTCAGAGGTAAGAGATTCAAAGGGAAAATCTGAGTGACGCTTCTGAAGTCGTCAGGAGGAGAGAACCCGAGGGATTCTCTTAGGTTCTTGGATTTGCTCTGGGAGAGGCACAGGGTCCATCGCTCCGCTATGTATCAGCAGGACCGGGACAGGAAGCATATGGTTACAGGCCTCAAGAGGAGCCACATTTGGTTGCTTTTAATGTTGCTTCTAATACTTCGAGGCTGTGGTCCTAGTAAGGTGGGTGCAGCAGAGCTTTCTCCAGCTCCTATCCCCCTCTCCCCAGTTGTTCCTGCAGCTGTGAGTCAGGGGTCAGAAGAGGAGAGAGAACAGCAGCACTGACCCCAGAGCAATGTGAGGTTGAAAGTGGAACATATGAGGACAAGGGGCCCCACTTCAGGTCCCGTCCAGGTTGCTCAGGCCCCACCTTGGCCAGGCACCAGGGCTGCATGTTGTTCATTAAAACGTGAACATCCTGACCAAGACTTTGAAGATAGGAATCGCCCATCCCAAACCAGACACTCACTGCCCACAAGTAGCCAACAAGGAAGCGAAGGGTGGTGAATGATTAGCAGAGCTGGCAGACAGCTCCAGAGTCTGTGGACACCAAGTACCTGGAAAGAGTTTCCTAAGACAAACTCAGCTTGACCACAGGAGCCCACAGAGGTCCTTCATGGCCTGGCTGCTCCATGGCGAAACTCCCCCTCAGACCTGTTTCCCCCACCGCCATGTTCTTGAGGGCCCCCAGGCACAGCCACTGCCACTTGTCTGGCATGAAATGCCAGGATGAGCCAGAATGCCTTCAGGAATTCAGTACATATGAATTTACTAGCTGCTGTGGATTCTGCTGAACACAGCAGGCATATAAAAAAGTATATGATGTAGTTCTTATCCACAAAGGGCTTACAATTTGAAGGCACACATCTCTACACACACTCAAACACACATACACAAACACAACATATAGAGAACTATTTAGACTACCTTGGTTCCATAGACATCAAATGTCATGTATGTAATTTTTAATTTTCTAAAGCATTTGATAAAATTCAACATCCATTCATGATGAAAACTCTTACCAAAGTGGGTGCAGAGGGAACATATCTCAACGTAATAAAATAAAACTCTTACCAAAGTGGGTACAGAGGGAACATATCTCAACGTTTATGACAAACCCATGGCCAGCCTAATACTCAATGGTGAAAAGCTGAAAGCCTTCCCACTAAAATCTGGAAGGAGGTAAAGATGCCCACTCTCACCACTTCTATTCAACATAGTATTGGTAGTCCTAGTCACAGTAATCAGACAAGAAAAAGAAATAAAAGGTATCCAAATTGGAAGAGAAAAAGTAAAATTGTCACTATATGTAAATGACATGATAGTATATATAGAAAACCCTAAAGACTCCACACAAAAACTACTAGAACTAATAAATGAATTCAGCAAGATAACAGGATACAAGATTAACATGCAGAAATCTGTTGCATTTCTTTACACTAATAATCAAATATCAGAAAGAGAAAGTTTAAAAAAAAATCCTTTTAAAATCGCATCCAAAAAAAATACTTAGGAATAAACCTGACCAAGGAGGTGAAAGACCTATGTGCCAAGAACTATAAAACAATGATAAAGGAAACTGAAGAGGACACAAATAAATGGAAAGATATCCTATGCTCTTGGACTGCAAGATTTCATATTGTTAAAATGGCCATACTACCCAAAGCAATCTACAGGTTTAATGTGATCCTTATCAAATTACCCATGACATTTTTCACAGAATTAGAACGAGTAATCCTAAAATTTATATGGAAGCATAAAAGATCCAGAATTGCCAAGGAAACCCTGAGGAAAAAGAACAAAGCTGGATACATAACCCTCCCAGACTTCAGACAAAACTACAGAGCTACAGCAATCAAAACACTGTGGTATTGGCACAGAAAACAGACATATGGATCAATGGATGAGACAGAAAGCCCAACACACCTATGATCAATTAATCTTCAACAAACGAGGCAAGAATATGCAATGGAGAAAAGACAGTCTCTTCAGCAAGTGGGGAAAAGCTGGACAGCCACATGTAAATCAATGAAGTTAGCACTCCCTCACAACATACACAAAAATAAACTCAAAATGGCTTAAAGACTTAGATATAAGACATGATACTGTAAAACTCCTAGAAGAGAACATAGGCAAAACATTCTCTGACATAAATCATAGTAAAGTTTTCTTAGGTCAGTCTCCCATGGCAATAGAAGTGAAAGCAAAAATAAACAAATGGGACCTAATCGAACTTATAAGCCTTTGCACAGCAAAGGAAACCATAAATGAAACAAAAAGACAACCTATGGACTGGGAGAAAATATTTGCAAATGTGTCGACCAACAAGGGCTTAATTTCCAAAATATACAAACAGTTCATACAATTCAATAGCAAAAGAACAAACAACCCAATCAAAAAATGGACATTTTTTGCGTGTTCAAAAGAAGACATACATATGGCCAATAGGTATATGAAAAGATGCTCAACATTGCTAATTATTAGAGAAATGCAAATTAAAACTACAATGAGGTATCACCTCACACGGTCAGAATAGCCATCATTAAAAAGTCTACAAACAACAAATGCTGGAGAGGGTGTAGAAAAAAGGGAACCCTCCTTTGCTGTTAGTGAGAATGTAAATTGGTACACCTACTATGAAAAACAGTATGGAGGTTCCTTAAAAAGCTAAAAGTAGAGCTGCCATATGATCCAGCAACCCCACTCCTGGGCATATAGAAAAACTATGATTTCAAAAGATACATGCACTCCAACGTTCATAGCAGCACTATTTACAATAGCCAAGACATTGAAGCAACTTAAATGTCCATAGACAGATGAATGGATAAAGAAGATGTAGGGTGTGTGTGTATATATATATATATATATATACACATACATACATACACAATGGAATATTACTCAGCCACAAAAAAGAATGAAATAATGCCATTTGCAGCAACATGGATGAACCTAGAGATTATCAGGTTAAATGAAGTAAATCAGAAAGAGAACGACAAATACCATATGGTATCACTTATATGTGGAATCTAAAATATGATAAAAATGCACTTATTTACAAAGCAGAAACAGACTCAGAGACATGGAAAACAAAGTTATGCTTACCAAAGGGGAAAGGAGGTGGAGGAGGGATAAATTAGGAGTTTGGGTTTAGCAGATACAAACTATATAAAATAGATAAACAACAAACTCGTACTATATAGCTCAGGGAACTATATTCAATATCCTGTAATAAAAACTGTAATGGAAAATAATATGAAAAAGAACATATACATAATATATATATGAATTGAAAAAGAATATGAAATATATATATTTTTATATATTATATTTTTATTATATAAAATATATTTTATATATATATATAAAAGAATATGAAAAAGAACATATATATAATATATATATGAATTTATCTGCTGTACACCAGAAACTAACACAACATTATAAATCAACTATACTTCGATAAAGAATTAAAAAGCAAAAACAAATTTTCTAACAGCAACATTAAAAACATAAAAAGATGAAATTAATTTTAATGAGATATTTAACTCAATATGCCCACATATCATTTCAACATGTAATTAATATAAAAGTTATAAATGAAGTATTTTTTTTTATAAATGAAGTACTTTAGATTCCATTTTTCATACTAAGTCTACAAACTACAATGTTTTGTTTTTTGTTTTTGGCCGTGCGTCAGGACTTGTGGGGTCTTAGTTCCCCGACCAGAGGTTGAACCCGGGCCCACCGCAGTGAAAGCACCGAGTCTTAACCACTGTACTGCCAGGGAAGTCCCACCAGCGTTATGTTTAACATGTACAGTGCATCTCATTTCAGAAGAGCCATATTACATGCTCAATAGCTACATGTGGTTAGTGGCTGCTATATTGATATACACAGATTTAGACAGTATAGAATGACATGTTGAGTGAATTTTAGTTTTAGTGAAAGGAATAGTTCATGGTGGAGGTAGAGGTTTCTTCAGAAATGGCATCTAGACAGCTATACTATAAACTTAATGTTTGCAGGATTTTAGTATGGTGCTTTCCAAAAGCATCTTTTAATTTACTTCCTTTCTGTTTGGGAGGGGCACCATTATCATCACCATCATAAAAAAATGATTACAACTCACCTTGCTGCTAGGCAGAAATACACCACAGGAAGGGAGAAAGCCAGAGGTAGGTGCTTGAGCAGAACTACCCAGGGAGTGGGTCCATGGAAGCAGAACAATGTCAGAGCCCATTTGTTTATGTGCCAAACTTTCATCTTATTTCAAGTAGGGGTTACTAAGCCTTGGGGTTTGTCACTAACTTACCAAAACAAAGCTCATGAGAGATGGAAAACAACATTCTCATTTCTTAGTTTGAAAGGACATATTTGCTTTATTTCTCCTGGCACGCCAGCTCATAATTTTCCTCTTTGAAATCTCCTATAATGGGAGTTTTATACCTCATTGCATAACCATGACTTAGGTTTCATAGTTCATATAATAGATTTCAGTTACTTTTGGTGATCACATTTCAACAGCTGCAAATTTCTTTTTCTTCTGGAAACTTTTGGCAAGGTGGAAGCACATACTCACCTTACCTCTGTTATACCTATTTCTTCCCTTATGACTATGGTATTAACTCACACCCGTGGCTGAGGAGAGAACTCAAGGACCCAGAGTCTGTTTCTCCATAGATCAGTCCTCTTCCAAACCAGAATCTGCATCCCCAAATCAGGAGTTAACCTTCATGCCCTCTTGTGCAGGATTCTTAACTCTGCCATTTGGGAACCCCACTGTAAATTTCAAAATTCCCTGTGGGAGACACATCTATCTCCCCACTGAATATCCTTGCTCCCCTCCCACAATGTAGGGT